GGAGGGCACTTCCCCAAGAGAGGTGACACATGAGGAACTGGCTGAGTTTGCATGCACCGTCTTTCGTGCTGTTAGTGAGAATTCCATCAGTGAGGGGTGCACATCACTGGCCGCTGCGTGTCTGAATTACATCTTTGTTTTCAGCCGACACATCGAGTCCATAGTGGAGTCGCATGTCCTCTATTACTACAGCTACCTCTGTGAGGACTTTGAGGGAACCATATGTTCCGTCGAGGAGTATGTGACGTACGCCCGGCCTATGCACGAGCTCGGTGTGGCGCTTATCGAGTTTGCCCTCAAGAGCCCCACCGCCCTGTTGTTTTGGCAACGCATCAAGTTGGCCAAGAACGTCTTCATCAACCTGTACAACGTCAACACGAGCTGTCACTGCTCCAAAATCAAGGAGCTTGTGAAGGCCATACCAGGACAGCAGCGGGAGACGCTGAACTTGTTGTCGAGGGTTTTTCTCATCATGGCGTCGCGGGCCCCGAAGAAGGAGGGGCTCCGTCTCCTGGAGCAGGCGGAGAAGTGCCTGCGGGACTGCCTCCCGACGGAGCAGGACACAGACGACGAAGCCATGGACGCGGCGGAAAGTCAGCACAACCACAGATCCGGGGGATTTGACGAACTCGATGAGAATTTGGAGGAGATGGAGCCGTCGTCTCTTGCCATGCTGTACTTTCGCCTTGCCACCCTGTTGCTCCTTTACGGCGACACGAATAAAACACGCGAGGCGGAGGCGCTCAAGGCTCAGGGCGACGCACTGATTGCAAAGGCAAAAGCAGCATCGGCAGTGAAGGGGGCGGCAACATGATTGAAAGAAAGGGAGGAGGGAGGGGAAAAAAAACAAAAAAGAATATATATCCAGAAGGAGGAAGAGGCGTTCGCCCTTCGTCTCTTAAGTAACACTTAGCAAAGAAGACGCTGGAGGGGGAGAAAAGAGAGGGACCGAAAAGGAGAAAAGGACTGCAATCGATAAAACTACAACAACAATGTCGACGTAAAAAAGCGAGTGACACGAAAAAATGCGGGGAGAACATCTTAAATACATCTTTTTGTTTTTTCTCTCAGTCTCTGTGTGTGTTCATGCGCCGACGTGGTCGTGGCTTATTGTTATTGGCACCCCTTTCATGACTTTTTTGTGGGCTTCAAGTAATTCTTCTTCACTCACCCGCCTTTTCTTATTTCTTATGTGTTCTCCTTCTCTCTCTTTGTGCCGGTTCTGTTTTTCTTTTTCTTTTTCTTTTCCCACTCTCTCGGTACAGGAAACGAAAGGAGAGAGAAAAGTAGAAGAAGAAAAACAATAGGAACAGGAAGAATATAATCCAACTATACAAAAAATGGCTTTAAACAGTATGCGGAAATTTACTCCTTTTTCTGTCTCCGTCCTCCTCCACATTTTTATCCTGCTGGCATACTTCCCTTCTCTGGCCGCCCTCGCGGCCGATCCTCCCATTCCCGTCTGGAGCAGATATGGCTGCAACGCGGGTTTCAACTTCTGCTCCAACGTAACGACAAAGGAGTCGTGGTCTGAAGACGGAAATAATATTTACCTCTTTCTTGACGCTCTTGTGTATGAAGACGATATTGAAAAGGCCAACACAACCGTGTGGTACGTGGGGGAAAACTTTGATGACAGCTGGGCCAGTGATCTGCGCAGAGAAGCTTTTGACGTGGTGCGTTTCTCGTTTCGCGGCTCCGAGTTTGCCCACCCGCAGATCACCTGCAGACCGGACCAATACGCGAAGAACCATTGTATGCCCAGCGTCGAGTGCGCGGAGGAGGTTCGCCGCTCTGGCCTGAACATGATGCATTACTCAACGGAGGAGACGGCAAAGGACCTCATTTGGGTGATTAAACAGCTTGGGAAGGGAAAACTAAATATTATCGTGGCGGAGGGACTTGGGAGCGTTGTTGTGCAGCGAGCGTTGGAGATGGAAGATCAGCTGAAGAACGTTTCTGTCGTCATGGCAGGATTCACACACCCACAGTACTTTGATATCTTCCAGAGTATCAATGGATACGACGCGGTCCTGCAGCGAGTGCTGGCGCTTTGCGAGGGGGATAAGACACTTCTTTGCGTCTCGCGTGTTGGTGCGCTTGAAGGGCTGTGGAACCGATTTGTCAATGTCATGAGGGCGGCGGAGGCGAATACTCTGAAATGTAACAAGCTGCTTAACTGGAGTGCTGATGCAAAAGAAATGCACACGGAGTATCGCTCCATTGTTGCCGCACTGCTGAAAAAGCCGCAAAACCCTCTGATGTTAAGTGATTGGAAGTTGCTTCAACTAATACCATCATTTATTTACCGCCTGCAGCGCTGTGAGGCAAGGGACCAACAGGCACTCACTCAACTGCGTGAGTTTGTCGGGTCAACTGAGAGAAATCGCTGTCCACTGTTCGTGGCTCAGCGGTACAATTGGCTGCTGAACGAAATGGTCCTGACGCACCCACCAGCACCGCCGAAGGATCTCATGGAGGCGGCATCCATGGAACGACTGGTGATGCCGAGCATGCTCCTGCTACAACAGTTGTATGACACGTACAAAGCGTTTCCAAAGTACAACGCCACGAAGATTTCCGTGGCTCGCACGCGGGTACCTTTACTTCTGCTTCCCTCTGACATTGACCCGTTATTTTCGTTGGGTATGGCAGCACAGGCTTCTATCATTTACGGCGCCACAATCCGTCGTTTACCACACCAATCCAACTTACCTGTTGCTAACAGCGCATCGAATTGCATCAAGGCGAATCTAATACATTATCGCAGCCGTTTTGAATGGGCGGATGCGGCACAATGCAATTTGGATAACATATACCATCTGAATTTTACCGCTTTTGACGCCTATGACTTTTACGGAGTGACGGACGCGTGGGAGTTTACGACGCCAAACATGGCAGAGCCTCCGGTCAACAACTCAGCAACGAACAGCACATCGCCGCCGTGCGAAGGGGCGAATGAGGGCTCCAGCAGGGCTATGGGATTCATCACGGTGCTTTTTGTGCTAACATTATTGGGTCTTTTTGGAATGACGTATTTGTACTGGACGAAGGCACGGTCGCTCAAGTTCTCGGACGACTTTTACAGCAACCTGAACCATTAAAAGATCGGGGCAAATGAATTGAATGCAGACGGCAGGGGAAGGAGACCAGCGCCACAAGTGTGCGTATGTGTGGGGGAAAGAGACCATGGAAGAAACATAAATTAAAAAAAAAAAACAAAAGAAAAAAAACGGAAAATAAGACGTGCAGACAAAAAGGAAAAAAATCAAAAAAAGGACGGTGAAGGAGGACGGGGAGGAAAAACGTAAAAAACAACAACAACAAAAAAACAATTTTTACTGAAGAAGATGACCTGCAAAAATCATCCTGTTATTTTATTAAAAGCGGAATGAGTCTTTTATTTATTTATTTATTTATTTTTTTTTTTGTCTTTTTTAATTTCTTTTTTTTTTTTTTTTTTCATACTTTTATTTTAATATTCCTTTCGTTGATTATGATTGGCTCAGCGCGGTTTACGGGCATGAAGACGTGGCAGCGAGAGGACGTTGGAGGACTCGAATGCCGCGTCTCACGTCGTGGATGCATGGCGGGGTGGGGAAATAAACAATAAAAAAACAAAAACTGGGAAGCCGTGCGTCTTGGCACGAAGTGAGTCTCCCCCCTCGTCTCTCTCCTCTTTACACACACACACACACACACAGAGCGAGAGAGGGAAAGAGACGAGGGAAGTGCGCATCCAATCCCGAGTCAGCAGGGCGGAAGGAAGAAAAAAACAAAAACAACAACAACAACAACAACAAAAAAGGATAAGAGGGACGCGGAGGAGGGGTGCTGCCTTCCCCGTGGTGGGAACAGGAGACAGAAACGAGAAGGTGAAGTTTGCTGCTGTGAGATGCTTGGACGCAAAATTACGTGGCATGACATCACCTGATAACGATGACAATAATAACGACATGGGTAGTAGTAGTGGTGGTAGCAAGAAAAACAAACCGAAAAAAACAAAAGGATTAAATAAAAGAAGAGAAATGACGGGAAAAAAAAACGACGTCCTTGAAACAATTGGGTGGATGCTCTTTGCACCCCACTCTTTTTTGATTATCGTAAAAAACAAAAACAAAACAAAACAAAAAACAAACATTATTAGTGACGTTGTGGAGGGCCGTGCTATTTTTTTCTGCTTCCTGCAACTTCAGTTTTCTTTTTTTTTTTTTCTTTTTTTGTGATGGTGCTGCTTTTTGGGCTTCGACACCCCGCACCCTCTCCCCTTTTATCCCCTTTCCCTGCCGATACGTCTGAGACGGGGGAAGGGGGGGAGGAGGGGTGCCTGAGCGGTGCCAAGAGGTCCAATCCTTTGAATTTCTGTTTACGGTAAGTCCATTACACGTAAGTTATCCACCTGCTCCATGGGCCTCTTTCTTGCTTTTTGCCCCTCAATTTGGCAGCTGTTTTTTGGTGTTTGATGGTGAATTGTTTTCTTCTTCTTCTTTTTTCATTGCATGGTCTTCGGTTTGTTGTCTGAACGATTCTTAGTGGAGTGCATGAACACACAGTTGGGTGATGTGGAGGTGGTCCCGCAACTCTCGAAGCGGGCCACACGGTATTCTGCGGAAATGGTGAAGCTCCTGTTGATCATGGACCGAACGCACTCATCGAACTGGGCGTCCCTCTCGACAATGCTGACGCAGCTTCTCAAGTGCATCGAAAGCAACATTGAGGCGGCCACCGAAGTTCTGCCAGATCCTGTCTTACTCTGTCGTGTCATTTGGAAGTGCTTTGATCCGAAGGGCGTCATGGGAGTGCATCGAAAAGCTCTTGACGTCTTGCAACGTTTGTGCCTGTGCGTGGGGACCTCCGCGCTCATCCGGCAGATGCCGCTGTTGCTAGTTGGCGTGCTGGAGCTCTTGCCTCAGTGCTCTATTCAGGTAAAGTGCGAGTTGCTGCATTTTGTGGAGGTTCACATGCTGCGCACACTTCCTCCTGGCGTCGTGGCTGTGGAGCTGCCTGGGATTCTTTCAGCAATACTGGGCGGCCTGGAGGAAAAAGACACAACAGAAGTCTACCGTTCGACACTTAAAATAATGGAAGCCCTCCACACAATCTTAAGGAACGCAGAAACAATGATATCTGCGAACTCAAATCCAATTGAGGAGGTGGACGATAACCACCACGAGAAGGAAATACCGTTAGGGAATAGTTCAGAAGGGGGCGGCGAGGTGATTCTTTACTCGGCGTTGTGGCTGACGCTGAAGAATTGCCCTTCGTTGCGCGCTTGTGTCCTACTGTACTTGAAGATGCGATTGTGTGTGGGTGTCTCACAGGCCCATAGCGTCGGCCATGGATCTGTCCTGGCGGAGAGTGAGGGTTTGGAGAAGGAAAAAAAAAACATCTGCCTCCTAGCCGCACCCACACCGTTCTCCATTATTCTTGGTAGTGATCCTCGTATTGTTCACAGCGCTATTTTTGCTACGCTACAGGAGCAGAGCGAGAGGAAACATCGGCTCATGCTGGATATTCTAATCAGCGCATTTCCGCTGGATGTTGAAACAACATTTACGTTTGAAGAACGTTCTTGGTTAGTGGCGGCTGTGATTCAGTTGCTTGGCTTTTCAGATGTTAATATTAGCATACGTCGACGTATCGCTGGGTGGTTGACTGGTTCCAACCCTGGAAGGGCTTCTATGTACGTGCAGGAGGTTTCATCATTTCTCGTGGCCCACGCATTCTACGGAGTTGTACGCTGGTGGGAGTCACGCTTTGTTCCGTCCACTGCAACTGATAATCGAGGGAATACGAGTAAAATGAACACTTTGGAGGAGTCGTACTACCAGGTATTGTTTGCTTCCGCATGTAAACGTTGCCTCCCTCTGGCTGATTCTTCTGCTTCTTCGAAGATGTCCATCAATTTAACCGAAGCTTACTTAACGCCAAATGTTTGGTTACGTGCATTTATGAGCTTTTTTCAACAATTCTTTGTATTAAATGATGCCGATGATGCGGACGATGGCGATGACAAGAACAGTAATAATACTAATAATGATAATGATAGTGACGATTACGCGAGGTACTCTGGGGCAGGAGATGGTTTTTCCCCTAGAACTATAGGAAACCCTTTCATAGAGCACGTGGTGCCTTTGGTCATGCCTTTTGTATGCGATTTACTTGTTTCTATGGAGCTGTGGAAACGAGAGAATCCACGACAGAGCAGCGCTATTGACTCTACTCTCACTGCGGTCTTTTCAGTGGTTACGTGGGATTACTTCACTTGTTACGAACATGATTTGATCAGTATTCTGGAGGGATGTTTGGATGGATTGCGAGAAATTGCTGCTTTTTACTTGCCTGCTACCGGCGTGGGGGAGATCTTGGAAGGCTCACAAGAGGGGTGTAACGTGAATGAAACCCCAAATAAACCAATTCCCTTTTGTGAAAGTCATGGCAAACTTATCTCGGATTTTCAGGTCTGTTTTCGGCGGTTAATTGGCTTGGTTAGTGCGGTGGAGCCTCATGTTATGGGATTGATGGACCTCGATGTGGAGCGGACCACCGCTTTTCTTCAAGGTATATTCAAAACGAGCCAGTCGCTTTGCAGCATCGTGTGGGGCGCGTGCGAGATATTGCTGGCACATGACAACACAGGGAGCGAGAGCGCACACTTCTCTATTGCCCAGTGCTTGATTAATGGCTGTTTGGATTCCTTCAATTTTATTTTTTTTGGAATGTTTTCTGCTTTGCAGGACCGAGTGGAGTTGGCGGGGTCATGTAACACGATTCGGGAGAAGGAAGGGGCCTTGCTGGACTCAATGATGCGCAGCTCCACTGCGATGGCTGAAATTGTCTTGCGTGGATGCTCTGCATGCGCAGAGACGCTGGCGCGCATCAACGACACTGTCTTTTCCCTCTTTCAACGGTCGCTGCAATTGGGCGGTAAATCCCCGCTCTCTTCTTCTGACAACTCGTTTGGTGTATGCGAGGATATCTTGGTTAGTTGGGTGGAATCTGTTTTTTCTTTGACGGACTCTACATGCCTCACGGTACAAAAAGACGCACTTCAGCTGTATGCGGATCTGCTGAGTTCTACGACTTTACCGCTGGCACTGCAAAGCGCCAAGTTTATAGAGGAATTGACGGTCAAATTTTTACCACGCCTCTGGGAGCTCTTGGGCACATGTAACGCGGGGATGCAACCTCACGTTGTGCAACTTCTGGTGCGCCTGTATGCCACGCATGAGGGCCGGGCCATTCTTGATAACATTACGAGCGTGGCCACCACGGAGAATGGGGAACGCCTGCTGCTTCTGTTTTGCTTGTTGGATGAGGAGAATGTTTCGGAAAATGTGTTTTTGCCGGGATTGTTTATGATGCTTCGGGCACTGGATTGCAAGGACGCTCCCCTTCGAAGACTAGCTCATTCTATGGTGCGTCAGTCCCTTCCCTGCTTTCACCGTGTGTTGAATCCATTGTTTGATTCTCTTGTGCGGTACCTCACATCTCGTGGCGCGGCAGACGAGGAGAAGACGGCGGCTGCCGAACATGTGGATTGTGTCTCCGCCCATTTCAACAATCAAATATTTTTGGAGCACGAGATGAATGGTTTGAGCCCAATGGAGTTTCTTTGCCTGGTAAAGTCCATATTGGCCATCCCTTCTTTTCTGCTTCCGCTACTCACTCGGCTTCACCAGTTGCAACCACCCGAAGGCTTTCGAGCGTTGATGACGACTATTTTTCCAAGACCTTTGGCGGCTGCGGGTGATCAAAAGGGAGAATCAGATATGCCTTTAAATTCCGCTTTTGCGGTTCTTGGTTGCCTGCTTTTGGGTATTGTTCGGCGGTGTCTCCTACCGCAATCCGATGGGCTTGGAGAAGACAACCCGCGTCTTTATGTTGAGCTCTGTATTGAGGCATGTGAGACGTTGAACCTCATGTTGGAAGGAACACTTTCTCTCTCCAACCCACCAGAGACAGTTGTACACACGTGGTATTACGCCACTTTTCAAACGATGGATTTCCTTCACGAGGTGGTGAAGCGGCCAGAATTATCTGTGACCCAATTATTGATGCTAAAACATTTTGTGGATGCCGTGCGTTTTTTGAATGCCGTGACTCCAACCCCTACCTCTTTCCCTCTTGACGCCTATTTTTGCATGCTGGCAAACAAGGCTCACAAAATTGAGGCATCGGAAACGGTAGTGGATGGTGCGGATCGGAGTACAGCTCGTAACTGCATTGTGGCGCTAAAAATTCCCAAATTTTATACGACCGTTGCATTGGGTCTCGAGCAGGCTACGGCCACAGCCCTGACGTCTGCTTGGGCTGCATATGATCTCCTTTCCGTGTGGTGTAACACGCTGCTGGAGCTTTTACCTTTTTTCCACGAGGAACTCGATGGGGCGTCGGCACACCTCTTGAAGATATTTCTCCGGGTCATTGATCAGCTGCTGGTTCAAACCACTTCTGTGACGGAGTGCGCCAACTCACGAGTGATTGAGAAGTTCTTGAATGCCGTTTACGGCTTACTGGAGTATCAACTCGCCACTGAGAAACAGAGACGCCAAAGCTACGCTTCTGGAAGGGGACAATCCGTCGGCTGGTTTGCGGCACATGTTCCCATTTTTGGTAGTGGCGGCGGTAGTTCTTCTTCTGCGCAGAAGGCAACGGGCGTGGATGCAGCGGCAAGCATTGGGGCCGTACGGCATTCCATAAGGCCAGTTGTCTCAATACTGTGTAAACTGCATTGTGCCATGCATAAGGCTCAAGCACAGAGGGTAGTTGAGGGGGAGAGACCACGCTACGGGGTACGTGGCCGCGTGGTTTGTTCTAATTTAGAGAGTGCTATCCATCGTGTATTACGTTTGTACGCACAAGAGATGGGTGCTGAATTCTACAAGGTGTTTATAGATGTGTGGGCGGCCGGCCATGCACAGCCGTTTACGGAAATGTTTACTTCTTTGGCACCGAGAGGGATCCATTTGTTTAACGACGCTGTACGCAACAGAATGGAGTTACTTCCTCTTATTGGGTCAGGTAATGAAATGGCATTGTCTTTTCCAATGTTTCTTGGTGATCAGGAGTTAATTGTTCAGTTACTGAATGCAGGAACAGGGATAACTGTGTTGTCGTTGATTCGCGTACTTGAAGAGCTATTAAAACAAAATTGCTCTAATAATACTACCAATTGTTCATCATCTTCTCGTCGTCATATGTTGGGGGCGGAGTTGCCGTTTGACGCTTCCGTGTTTTATTATTTGTACACTTTTATTTATACATGTCGTGTGCCTTCTGGTGAAACTCAGGAGGTATTGAACGCATTGATTGATGTCGCCATTACGCATCTCTCCCAGGGCTCACCCTCAGTGGTCTGTTTGGGCCTTATCGTGCAGGTTTTCTCTCACTTTGTATTGGGCCAGTCGGTTCCGAGGTCTTCACCATCGTCGCCGTGCGAAACTGTGGAGGGGTCATGTGTGGAATGGGGCAAGGACAAGCGTTGCTCAAATATCATATGTAAAGTGTTGGACGCCCTCGGTTCCGTGGCGTTGCACACCTCCTCCATGCAGGGGGAACTGATGTTTTCATTCAAGATGCTTTCAGTGGCGCTTCCGAGGCTTGCCTGCGGCGCGTTGTCAGACCAGGACCGCATAGCGACTGCCGTTTTGAGTTTCTACAAGCGGTCTCTTCTTCCCACCATCATGTTTGGTGCTGACTCACAGACCGACGCCGATGTGTTTGCCCGTACGCCGCTCGTCAAGGCGGCGCTTTCTGTGCTACAGGCAATCATCAGGCTTGGCGACACCGTCACACGGCGTCTTAGACAGGAATTGCTTGACGTCCTTTGCACGTGCGACTTTTTTAATTTTCCGCAAAGTGTTATACATGAATGGGGTGTGATCTTCGAGTGGCTATCTCAAGATTGGACATTTCATGGAGAGGCCGTGCAGTTTCTTGCGCCGTCGTCTTCTCACTCCAGCCGCATTGTGGCGTTGATACATTCCGCAGATGAAGAAGAGCGACAACGTGTTCGGCAAATAAAACGACTCGCCTTTTATGTGACGTGTATGCTGCCCTCCACTCTGATGCTGGACAGAGAGTTCTGTCTTCTGATTCGAGGGCGCATTGCGGATAGCCTTCGCTCTTTTCACTCCATTGCGTCAGGGAATTCCAGCAATGGATCCGGATCCGGGTATCGTTCTGTGCGCTACGCCCTTTTCCTCTTCCGTGTCTTGGTGACGAAATTAGACCCCGTCCTGTTGCATCCGTTCTGGCCGGTTGTTCTTCCAACTGCCTTTAGGGCGCTCTCCATTCCATCCCCATCCGTTGATGCGGCGGCGGGCAAAAGGAAGAACACTGATGGGGAGCTTTTGGCGCTGCAGATGGAGTGCCTTAAACTTCTTGACTTTGTTGGGGTGATTATGCCCGATACGTTTTCGCCATTCCACTGGGTATTTTTTGACGATTTGGATGCCACCAATGTCATTGTGCCGAATAATGCGAAGGAGGTGTTTATACCCATCGTGCATCGTCTCGAACTTAGTCTACGGTTACGCACTGTCTCACTCCAGGACGTGTGGGCACCCGCGGTATCATCATCGAGTGCGTTTACCAATTGGACGGGATATCAACGGCCACTCTTGCGCTTTCCCCCCATATGTTACGGCAGTCTGCGGGGGATTGGCCCTTGTGCTGCAGCACTTTCTCTCTTTTATCGTTCTGGTGGTTTTTTGACGGCGAGTCAGGCACCCGAGCAGTTGTTGTCAGCTGCGTCTACTCGGCTTATGGATGGCTGGGACGAGGCATATGTACGTGCACTTGTTGAAGCAGACCTTTCCTGCGTCCTAGATAACACTTTACCCACTCCTTCCCGTTGAATCCTGTAGAGGGTGACAAATAAATATAATTCCTTTTTCAAACAAAATTAAATATCTGCTTCTCTTTGTGTGAGTGAGTGTGTAGTTGGTGGTCGGGAAAGAGTTTTTTTTTTTTTTTAAATTTTTTACTTCTTTGTCCTGTTTTCCCTTCAGCTTTGTGAGTCCCGTGGGAGTTTTGTTTAGAAGGAACATGTTGAGCGTGTGTGATTTCCTTTGCTTGACATTTATGTGTGTGTCCTTGTGTGACTACTTGAGAGAAGAGCCTGTATTTCTACTGCTTTGCTGAGACTGTCGATGGCATGCCTCGCGTGCATGTAAACGTGTCTACATGATACGTTTGTTTGTTGTTGTATGGTGCGGGGCTCAATGCAGGTTTTGAGACGGACGGAAGTGAAAACAAAAACAAAAACAAAGGAAGAACAACAACGGCAACAACAACAACAACAACAACAAACAAACAAATGGAAGAAATGGGGAGAAAAATTTGTTTGTCTTCTACCCCTGTTTTTTTTGGCTCTTTAAAGTTTTTGTGCCTGTGTGTCTTTGTGTGCATTGTTGTCGGTTGTTGTTACCGCTGCCGAATTTTTGTTTTCTCCCACTTTTTTTTCTTCTTGCATTTTTGTGTAGTCGTGCTGAGCTTTACTCCGTTTTTGGTTTCACTGGCGTGACGCTCGGTGGCAGGGGCGATGGATAGCCGAAAGGGAGCCACTGGTGATTCGTTAACTGGTAGCAATACCAATGGCAGCAGCGTCGGCCGTGCGCCCACGCCGACTGCGCAGCAGCCGTGGCGTCACGATACGGCAGCGGCAGAGCGGTGCGGCGATGAAGGGAGCGACAATGAACCCGAGCAGCCTTTGTTCTACCAGGTGAACATGAGGGAAATAACGAATGCATTACTGGTGCCTGCCGACATGGTTTCTGCAAAACTGCGGCCGTTGTCGCCCTCCACGGTTGCAGAGGGGCCGGCAATCCAAGTCACCTCGGGGGTTTTGGCTGAAGGTGGCACTGACTACTCCAGCAACGCCAGTAGTAACAGTGGTAGATTTTTAGATGTGCCTCCTGCCAACCTCCCGGTGCGACACGGCCGACATCACAGCACAGTTCGGGCTGCGGTGCTGCCGTCACCAGAGAACACGTACTACGTGGAGGATACTCTTGTGATTGGTTCCGTTGGACGGCGGGGCGGCTTAGTTGAGCGCGGCAACACTTCTTCCAACGAGTGTCAGCGACAAGGCGACGCAACGACTCCGGCACGTCCCATTGCTTCTAGTTCTTTGTTGCCTGTTCCAGGCCCACCAGGTTTTGCGGCACGGTCTTCCTCACCACCCTTGTCGAAACCTTTTAACGATGCGCTACAGAGCTCCTCGTTGCGTAGTGTGACGTTTCTTGTGCAGAAACCAACTAGAATTGAGCGTTGCGTTGATACCATATCGGAGGAAAGCGTGGGTCTTGAACAGCCGCTGATCACGGAAGGCATGAATGTGACAAAGAAGTCAGCATCGAAAAAAAAGAGGGTTCATTTCCCCGAAGATGTGATTAAATCCGTCTCAGTTGTGCAGGCAGATGATCAGTTACGTCTCCTCGTTGAGTATTACCGCCCGTGGTATGCCCATCTTGTCCTATTGGTGGCGAGCGCCTTTTTTGTTTTTCATTGGGGATTCGTTGTGTTGGCGATGAGGCCGTCCGAAGTGTCACAGCGTTTTGCCGCCTCTGTCGTCATATCATTTGTGGCGTTTGGTTTTGCCTCTGCTTACCTGTTGGCCTTTCTGGCACTGACGTGGCGACCTGGCAGTGAAGAGTTGGGATTTTTAATGGACTTTTCGAGAAATCGCCCGGTGATTTACGTGCTTCTCGCAGGTGTTGTCTCGCAGCTCTCTCTGGTTGCCTCATTTATGTTTCGCTGCGACGTTGGAAGCCTTGTCTGTTTTTGCTGCATTCCGCTTGTTGTGACATATTTGTACGAGGAGTACAAGAAACACGCTGTGTCCGTGCTTGACTGTATTGGATGTATTCTCGTCGTTGGGTCAATTGTTGTTTTTTACGTGGGGGCGGAGATCGACGATGACAGCAAATTATATTACCGGGTTGTGCCTGTTTGCATTTCAGTTGTGGGTGGTGTTTCTATGGCGTACTTTCTCTTTCAGGTTCGCACTGTAAGTCGTTGTGTGAGTAATTTTTTTATTATGTCATCCACCACTACTCTGGTGACACTGCTGCTCGCTTTTTTGGGGTACGTTATGGATGCCTTTGCATCGCCCATTGGTGCCTCCCAAAAGAAGTTAACTGAGATATCTTCGGAGGACTTTTTCAAAATTATTGTTAGCGCACTCTTCCTTTTTTTTGCTTGGTTCACATACCACTGGAGTTCCCTCTTCTTTGACCGCATGACTCTTTCCGGCAGCTTCTCCCTTGGCGGCCCCATCTCGTTGCTCGTGTTCAATCTCTTGTCGCTTCCCACGGCGTCCCTGCCGTACGAGATTGTCGGTGGCGTTGCGATGATGATTGGATGCGCTCTGGTGCTCTTCTCGGGGTTTCGGTTTCGGCAGAATGTGGAGGTGCGGATTGAACTCGAACGCGAGTAGTCGGCGTCAGCGGAGAGCAGAAGAGAGAGAAGTGGCCAAAAGGAAAGGATGGGAAACGACACGGTGGAAGGGGAGCCCAGTGGTAGATCTTTATCTCTTTTTTTCTTTTTCCTTCCTTTCGCCCTGGCCTTCTCTCCCCCACGAGGGTGGAGCACTGAGGTCCAGGGCGGAAGGCAAGGACGTGTTATCAATGAAAGCGAGTCTCAGGAATAAATAAATGGATCTAAATCAAAATAATAATAAAAAATAAAAAATAAAAGAAAAAGAAAGTAATATTGTTAAGGTGCGTATAAAAACGGACAAAGGGCTCGCTGTGACTTTTCCCTCGCCAGTGCTTCTTGCTTCCTTTCTTTCTATCTCCATAGTAGTGAAGAGTGCATATCCAACGAATCATAGCTGATCATTTCATTTGCAAAGCCTTTCCCTTTTTTTTTTTTCTTTTAGAAATTTGTTTGTTTGTTTGGTGGGGATTTTGTGCTCTTTTTGCTTTTCTTCATTGTTGTCTCTCCCCCTTCTCTTCTCCTTTGATTCCACATTGCGTGTTGACGCCTTGACATTTGGCCGTGATTGGCAGAGGGACTGAAGGGAGAAGGATAAAGGGGCGTGGTTGCGCGATATAAACGCAGCCAGACATAAACACTTACATACGCACGGCGATATTTGCGACGGGAATCAAATGGAGGAGCTTCTGGAGCGGGAGATCGAGGATCTCAAGCAACAGCAGCAGAAGCTCGAGCAAGAACTTATGGCCATAGATGAGCTAAGCTGCTGCATGCAGCAGAGTGGCCAGGGGGATGTCAACAATTCTCTCTCGATCCCTGCCGTTTTGGAGACTGGAGGTGGTAAAGATGCAATTGGTGATGGTGTGTCTTTGCGTGAGCGGATGGCGCAGCTGGATGAACTGCGACTGCGTTACCAGCGGGAGTCCAGTAGGGCGCTCCGGCGGTATTTTGATGTGGTGAGCGGTTTTCCGCAGTACCAGGCGAAGCGCGAGAGACTTCTTTGTAATCCTCGCCCCTTTTCTTTTGAGTCCCGGGAGCTGCAGAAGGAGCAGCGAATACGAACACGCCGGATGGAATCCGAGCAACGCCAGAAGGAGCAGGCGCTACAGCAGATATTAAACTATCGCTTCAAGGCGAACCCCGTGCCGCCCTCCACATACATGAACAAGTATGATCTTATGGTGGAAGAGTGGCGACAGCGGCGTGCTGCGGTGGAAGCATTGGCCATTGAAAAGGCCGAGCGGATGAAGGCAGAGACGGAATTAGTGCGTATTTCCGCGGAGAGCATGCGTCAGGTTCGTGAGATTATGGGGGTGCGGCACGATGCGAAGGCCAAGCGTGCACAGAGCGCAGATTTTGAGGGAAGGGACCGTCGACGTGTTGAGGAGTTACGGGAGATCCCGCTAGAGGTTAAGATGAAGCTGTGGCCCGCGCTGGAGGAGCACGAGCAGGTGCGGGTTGAACGCATCAAGCAGCGTGCAGCGGAGCGATTCAATATGTTGAAGGAAGAGGAGGCACGACGTTTAGCTCCGGTCGGAGCCACCTCACACGTAAAAGAGCAGCAGCAGCATTTCCCGGCGGGGCCGATGCCATTGCCAGCGGTGCCGGTGGGTGGACCCATCGAGGCAGTCGCCGCGTCGCCAACAGCGCCACAGATGATTCTGGTGGGTAATGCTCCAGCAGCAACACCAGGGCCGACGACCACGCAGCCGTTGGCGCAAGCGTCACTTCCTGCGACGGGGGAGGTGGCTGGTGAGAAAAGAGCGACATCTGCCACACAACCGCCACTGAAGAGACGTAGCCAAAGTGGTGATAAAAGGGCGTACAATCGCAACATGACATTCAAACCCCGGATACATGGCGGTGTACCCGATTTTAAAAGCATGTGGGCTGATGAACGCTTGACGCTGGCGGAGCGGAAAAGAAAAACGCAGCCCACAGAAGTAAAATCTTTTAATCTGACAGTCTCCCCGAAAGAAACCGTTATCCGGGGGCGTCCTGCGCTTCCAACGAAACGATTTGTGTCAGCTACACACTCACGGCAGCGGAGCAGGTCTGCAGCGAGTGGGGTGAAACCCACGCAGCCGACATCACAGCCCGTAGAAAAGGATAAGAAACTCGTTCCAAAGGGGACTCGGGCCCACGCAATACGCACGCGTGCGGTGTTTATCAAGTATCTTCGCGCAGCCGAGACCGATGCGTCTCGGGAAAGTAACCGGGATGACCTGAAGGCCATACGTGAAGGCCACGAACGACAAAAGGTTGTGAATGCACGGCTGAAGGAGTACTTGAGAGGTACTTCCACGAACACGGACGCCATCATCAAGAAGAAAGTGCGAGCACTACGACAACGAAGCCGTGAAATGGAGAAGGAAGCCTTTGAAAGACTTGTGGAAATGCGGATGCGTGTGGCTCAGATACCACCCATTTTTGTCGAACCCACTCATTTACACGATATTGCAAAGACCCGTGCGGAGACAGAAAAGGAAATTATACACATGTTGGAGGAGACGGGCATGAACGTTGGCACCCTGGCCACCATTCTGACTGCTGGGGGAAATGAGGCCTCGAGCACCAGCAACGTGAATGCTGTAGAGGCCGCCACGAGTACTCCCGATACAGGGGCCGTCACGGCGGTAGAAACAAAGACTGAGGAGAAATCAAAGTTAGATGTGACTTCCACAAGGGAGGAGCGAGTGAGAAGTGTTGGTGACAGTTCGGTTAGCGATTCTCCTAGTGACGGTAGCACTGATTTTAGCAGGAGCGGCAGTAGTAGTAGTAGTAGGACTGGGGCTCCTAAAGAGAAGAGTGACTACGATGATGATTTTGAAGCCAGCACCAACTCTTCAACAATATCGTTATGATAGAGGCACCATAGAGGACTGTTGTTGGTTTGTTATAATTTTTTGTGCTGCTGTATTTTTTTTTTTTTTGTGTGTGGGAGCTTGCTGTTGGCGTTCACTAATAAAGATCTCATAGAAACCATACGTCTAGCATCAAAAAGGGTGCGCTGAATGTTGCGTGGTTTGTTTTTATTCCCTTGGGAGTGACAGTGAGGGGGAGAGAGAGAGAGAGAGGCCTTTATTTTTCTTTTGGTTTATTTATTTATTTATTTATTTTCCACTTTACGCCACCTTTGTTATCATCAAAGTGACAGATGCGTCCATCTGCCGCACTGAGCCCTTTTAAGGGGGTCGCTGCGGTTCATTGTTGCGAGGATGCGCAGTTTCGGCTACAATCAGGCAGGTTAGGATTGTTTTTGAAACTTCGCGGGGACGTTATGCGTCATGCTCGCCTGGCTGGCGGGAATGGCGGTCAAAAGAGAACACGCGATTGCCGTGAAACGACAGTTGCGGTGGAAGAGAAGCCAGGCGATGTTGCTTCAGCTGTTCTTTGTGGCGTCCGTGGGGTGACCACACGACTGTTTCAGGGTGTGGAGCTGCGGCACGCAGAACTCCGTGCGATCCACGTGGCACGCGAGGCCGAAGATGCAAATAGGAAGTTGGGCGAGAGGGGTGAGGACCCCATTAATCTCACTTCTATCTTTTCTTTGGATAGTTTTGCTAGCCTCCACACACTGGACTTGGAGTGCAATTGCCTGGGAGACGAGGGCATTACGAAACTCTGCTTGTGGTGCTTGCCGCAACTTTGTTTTCTAAAGCGTTTATTTGTGGCCAGCAACGGATTTGGCGTGTCAGGGCTGAGGGCCATTGTGAAATACACGGAGGGAAATGCGTCTGGAACGGATGGACGCATGCCTTCTGCTTTTTCTCCTAATAATAGTACTGAAACAAAGATGCATCCACTTGAGGCTGTTGGCCTTACGAACAACCCATTGTTTTCCAATGACAAGGACGAGGAAGTCACGGACTTATTGAGTTGCTTGCTTCATGCATGCGGGCCACTGCTTCGACGGTTGCATTTGAACCATGTCGGAATGCCCACGTCATCCGCGGTAGCAATGGTGCAGGTGTGCTTTGCGGGTGATAAAGTGCGGCCACAGGGTTTCCCAGACACGCAGCTGACGGTCTACCTCAAGCAGAATTATATTGACAAGGAACAGTTTTATTCGACGCTACGAGATTTGGAAATGGGTGCAGCTGCACGTATGTTTCTTGTGTAGTCCCTCTTTTATTATCATCCACTCTCAAAACACTCTGAGTGGGCGATACAATAACCGAATGAGAGTGACTGTGTATGTGCATCTCTCTCTATGTATTTATGTATGTTTATACGTGTCAGTTGAAGAGGATGATGAGTGCTTTTTTTTCTTTTTTTTTTTGTATCTTTTTTCTGTTTGTCTCCAATATGTCTCTGTGAGAGGGGAGGAGTGAGTAACGACGAGGTCTGCACACACGCAGAGGAAAGAAGAAGAAGAGTTCAACAAAAAGCGGATTGTAAAAAGCACTCAATAAAAACATTACTCCACAAATGGCCGCCTCCATTCAGCAGGCGGCTTTACTTTGCAACACGGAGGGGCTTGAAGAGATGATGGAAGATGGCGACGAGACAAGTTCCCTTTTGAACCATGACTTGGATGAAGAGGAAGAAGTAGTGGATGGGAGGACAAGTGGATCGTCGTTGCACGCACGTCTTCTCGGCCCTGAGCTGCCAGTAGAGTCAGTGCACCTCAAGGGAGACATGGGCCCGGAGGACGTTTGCGGAGAGGGCAACGGAATTGTCGCTGCAGGGGGAGGTGAAGTGGGACGGCGAAGTTGGAGATCATTTAACCGTCGATTACCGCCTCTGAGTGAGCCGCGGCGTTTTTGGCAGTTGGTGGTGGGTGCCCTGTGCTGTGTGGCCGTCTCATCGTCATATACATTTAATCTTTACAATGGACGGATACAATCCAAGTACAACTTTACACAGAGCCAAATGACGACGATTTCAACAATTGGTGACATAGTAGGAGTTCTCATCTTGCCTTTGGGTGCCATTTACGACCACTATGGCGCGCAACCCATTTTTCTTATCGCATTGTTATTGTTTCCATTAGGAGGCATTTTGTTTGGTTTGACATTTGCAAATGCCATTGAGGGCTCGATGGCGGCATTCTCGTTATATGTTTGTATGCAGTCTCTGGGGAGTTCTTTGCTGGATTTGGGCTCCGTGATGACGATGTTATCTATATTTCCTGCTAACAAGGGGGCTGTTGTGGCTGTCATGAAGACATTTTGTGGGATGGGCTCTGCCATTCTTGGCGCCATTCACTTGGCTTTTTTCCCATCAGAAAATGACAGTGACACAAGCAGCTTTTTTTATTTTCTTTCCGTCTTGGTCATGGTGGCTTCCTTTTTTGGCGTTGTGTTTGTGGAGGTTCCACCATACATGATCCGAGGGTGTGAAAAGCGCGTTCTTACGGAGGCCCAACGAAAAGAGCGATATCGTATTAGGAGGCAGTTTTTGAGGCAGAAGGCCCCCACGGCTCGTTTTGCCATTGGTTTTGCGATTGTACTTATTTTGGTTTTTTTCCTTCCCGTCCAAGGCGCCATATCGGCGTACATGGAGCTGAACAATTCCTACCGCGTTACTTTTGCTTGCGTTTCCGTAGGCCTCTGCGCATTTTACCCGATGATGGCTTTGCCGTGGAAGGTGCTTGATCGAAAGTTGCCGTTGCCCCATACGGGGAGTTTTTCATTTGGATCCGGACGTGCGAGTCGACTTAGTCGCTTCAGTCTGCTGTCAAGGGGTACGATGGACAGCACGGCGGCTATGAGGGAACTCGACTACATTGCTCCACAGTATCAGACAACATTAGTTCAAAATTTACGGACCTTGCGATTTTGGGCGTTGCTTTGGCTGCTTTTTGCCACATCGGGGGCACAAATCATAATAATGGGGAATATGCGGTTTCTCTTTGGGGCGCTTGCGGGGAAGCCTCTGGGCGAATCCTTTGTGGCCCTTTTGGTTGTGATTACAGGCGTTGGTAGTGGGTTGGGCCGCATTTTGCTGAGTGTGCTGGAGATGATGACACAAGGCCGATCTGCGGAGGAGCGCACGCCAATCACATTCACTTTATTTGTCCCCTCTGTGCTTTCAGTGGCAACCCTGCTGCTGGTACTCATCTTGCCGACGAATGCACTTCCCCTACCCTGTTTTACCATAGCCCTTGTCAATGGATCCGCGGCTGCCGCAATCGTGATTGTTTTGCGCACCATCTTTGCGACAGATGTTGCCAAACATTATAACGTTTGCTCCTTTGCAGGGATCGCTGCATCGCTTTTGATGAATCGTCTGGTATACGGTGAATGGTACACGCGAGAGGCGAATAAACAGGGTGGGACCTTGTGCTATGGTCGGCAATGTGTCCTTATGCCTATAATTTTTTCTTTGGTGACGAATATCTCGGGCGTACTTGCTGCCATATATATACACTGGGACTACAGCAGTTATTGCCGTAGAATGCTTGAAATGCGGGCACAGAGGCTTCCGAATCGAGTGCCTCATGTAGCAGATAATTCTAATAGCAATGTGGTTGATATCCAATATGATGACGGGAAGGGTTCTTTGACAGAAGTGAAGACGGTGGTGGAATCCCCAGTGGAAAAGTGAACATCTTGAACAACTGCTTTTTTCTTTATGTTGTTGTTTTCTTTGTCAGACGCAACAATCGACCGGGAAGGGGGGCTCACCTGCTGCTTTCGAGGCGTTTGTGATTTACTTTTCACACATATATAAGTGAGTATGTGTGCGTGTGTGGATATCTACAATATATATATATATTTCTTGTTTCTCTTCTTGATGCGTGTGTCATTTAGCTGCGTGTGCGGTTTTCAAATAAGGGAGGGGGAACTGAAAAAACAACAACAACGAGCGAAAAAATAGACAACAACAACAACGACAAACAAAAAAAAAAAAAAAAAAGGTTGTATTTGCGCTGGGTAAAACGACATCTTTTTTTTTTTTTTTTTTTGCGTGCAAGTGCATTATTGTTTTCATTTGTTTTCTTCTTTTTGTTCCCCTGTATACATCGAATTCCTCTTATTCATGCATTTTTATTTTTATTTGTTTTCATCGTCAATGTGGATGAGTGCAGACAAAATAAAAGAAAAAAAAAAAAGAAGAAAAAGAATGAGCCTAAAGAAATCACTTGAGGAGCTGACGCGTCGCTCATCGCTACGACGGTCAAGTGGTTTAAGGGCCTCGCACGTTATAATAGTTGGGAAACGTATGGTGGAGGACGGATGTGATTCCATTGTTTCTCTAGCAAGTCCAAGGCTGGAGGAGCGGCGGCAGCGGCGGGTTGTTCTTCACGGTGTTGGCACCGGCGATGTCATTCGGGCCCCGTCACGCTTTTTTGATCAAATCGTGGAGGAACGTCGGCTTCCCAAGTCCGCACACTGTTATTTGTGGCGTGGCCGAGGAGGGTGTGGGCCTGCGTGGGTGCGTCCCCGCGCCATTCCGTGTGTCCACCATGCCGAGGCCCGCTCATGTACGCGGTGCCCGTGGATGGGACTGGCGACAGCGGCGTCGAGGGAGATAAAGTCAGAGCGACTTCGCCGCACCATTGAGAGTTCTCTTCTTCCTCTTGCCTCCTCTTCCCCGGCGGGAGGCGGTCAGCCAGAGTTGACGCGGTCCCCACCGTCCGTGCGTTTTTTTGAGCCCTTTGATGTTCCTGTCGCGGCGCATTCAATGCGGGAGATGGAATTTTACTTTCGGAGACTGTCCAGCGAAGAAAGCTTGAGTTCGGGTCAGGGAATGGGTTCTCCTGCTGTCACCGGCGAATTTTGTTTTTCTCCCAACCTAAAGGACGCGCCGGAGTGTCTCTTGTCTACATTGGAGCAGCAACGACTCCTTTTGTTTTTGAACCGGTGGGCTGAACGGCTTCCCCCACCCGTGCAGCAATGTCTTTCTGCAGTCTTTATTTTGCAACATTCTCGGGAAGGCGTGACGCGCCTGTGGGAACGTGATCTCCACGTGACGCTTCTCCTGCGCCAAGATGTGTCAAACTTTGGTGAACAGGGTCCTTTGTGCTCTCCCTCACAACCCGAGGGACTTCTTTCATTGGCGGAACAACAACTCGTGGATACGGTGCTTTCGGCAGTGCCTCTGACAAAGCGTCTTGGTATTGCTACGGTTTGTAGTGATGGATCCATGGCGTGTTTATATCCACGTCCACAGCGTGTCGAATGTACGATGGCGGCGGATGTTGCTGAGTTAGTGGGGGTTGTGCCATGCGTTGCAGTTCATGGTCCTTCGGGTAAAAAAGCGGCGGCAAATTTGCCATTTATGCACAGCACAGTCGCGTTCATTCTTGGTGCACGGGACGTGGCGAGGCTTGAAGTCTCTCCGCCTTCTCTCTGGCGCCAAGCCATGTCTTTAGAGGCCGTTGGCTCCGTTTTGCTCTCCATCCTTGGGGATTTTTTGAGAGGTGGTGTTCTTCTGCTGCTTCCTGATCCAGGTGGCTCTTTATCTTTTGAGGAGGCATCAACGCTTTCTCAGTCGTCAGGTACACATCTATTGGCTACGGCCGTTTCGCAGTGGCTTGGATCCATGTCGACGATGTCTGTTGTATACATTGCGAGGGAGGATCGGGAGAATGGGCGGGGGAAATGGAATCTCAAAGGCTTTGACGCCGCGTTTTCCTCAACAGAGGAAGGACCTGCGATGTTATTTTGTCTCCTCGACAGTGTAACGGATGTTGAGGCAACAGTACACGTTTTAAGGCATGGCATGACATCTCTAGAGCAGGATTGGCCCCTGTTGGTATTGAAGCGAATTGTTTTTCTGCAGCTTACTGCCGATGGGGATTTTTATCTGCTGGCAAATGCCCTTTGCAGCGTCACTGCTTTTATGGAAAGACGGTTTAAACTCGGCGTGGATTGCGGCATTGTGGACATTGATCCCTGGACGGCTGCCACGGTTGGTTATTTTATTCTGGAGATCTCACCATTCACCACATCGTAATCGCATGAAGTCTTTATTTTTTCCCGTCGTTTTTTTATTTATTATTCGCTCTGTTTTTCCCTTTGATGGCAGTTTACAAGGGTTATTTTTCTCACCAACAATCTTTCTATCTGTCTCTTTCTGTGTATGTGTGTGTGTAGCGGAAAGCTTCCTTCCTGTGTTAGAGTCTTTTGTTTGCATTTGCTGGCAATAACAAAGGGGGGGGGGGGGGTCAACTCACAATAAGAATAAATAAATAACCAAACGGCGAAACGAATAAATCTTACTGTGTGCCCCAAGGAGGCAGAATGATGCGTGTCTCATGTGTGCTTCGTCACCATCCACTTATTCAGTTCAAGTATGCGGTTAAAAACGGCGCTAGTAGCGTAGGAGGAGTAAAGGCTGCCGTTGCGAGCGATAAGAGTAGCAGTAACGTGCTGGCGGGCACGTTTGTGGAGACATTTGAAGAGCTGCCGAAGAAGTTTCAGCCGCATCTCTTTACAGAGGAGGAGATGGAGCTGATCATGATGGGTGGCGCCACGCCATACGTTCCAAAGTCTCTTCAGCGACGAAAGGAGAAGTAATTAACCCGCCACGTGGAGGGAGTGGTGTGCATCGCCTGCCAGAGGAAGTGGTGGAGGAGGAAAGAGGAAATGAAGGAATGAATTGGTAACAAATGGGCATGTATGGATGGGGCCGTGTGTTTAATGTATGATTATAAGCCGTGGGGAAGGATTAGGGGGGGAATGAAGGAAGAGGAAAGAAAAAAGGGATTTTCTCTTTTATTTTTATTTATCCTGTTCCCGTTGACTCTCCACGACTCTCGCTGGTGCTGCCGGTAGTCATGAGACTGAAGTAATAGACTTTTTTTTTCTTTTTTTCACTCACACACGCTGCGCGCTTTTGTACGCGGTGCGGCCTTCACTTACACGCTGTTTGCCCTCTTTTTGTTTGCGTTTGCGTTTTTTGTTTTGCGTTGTGGGTGCAGAAGGGCGCATTTAGCCTGTTTCTACACATCGCGAGGTTTTCAAAGGGGGCGTCCGAACACGCACGGAGGAACACATCCGGGAAGGAAGTAAAAAAGAACAGGAGGCGACGGCAAAGAGGGGCGGAGGTGAAACAAAGCTCAGGGAGAGAGAGAGAGAGAGACAGTAGCAGCTGTCATCAAACGACAGTAACAACTGGAAGAATCATATGGGGAGAGAGAAATGAATTCCAAACATATTGACAAGGGTGGAAGTTCTTCACTGCGTGCTTTGACTCCACGAACCGCCAGAGGAGCAAATACGCGTGCCTCACCCGAAGCTGCGACACCACGAGGCGGCAGTGGCCCTGTGCCGGACCTCATTGTAGCACGTGGTTTGTATAAAGTTCTCGAGGAGGTGATGCATGATCGACCCCCATCAACAAGGCAGAAAAACTCACAGGGAAGTGGACAAAACTCCCGCCCCAATTTTC